TTTCTGAAGGAACTCTTTCTTCTCTCTCTATTTAATTTTGAAATTTGAGAGAAAGAGAGATAGTGTGTATGGATTGATCGCTGCTTGTGTGTTGCTGATCTCCTTTTCATGTTATGCAATATATATCCTAGAGTTTTTTAATGAAGCAAAAAGAAAATAAACTTTCTAAAATTTAATGCACAAGTATACTAAAACAAGATAAAAATTTTTTTTTTAATTTTTTTAAAAAGAAAAGAAATGATAAATAAATTAAATTAAATTAAAATTAATTACCTAATTAACTAAATAAATTAAATAAATATTTAACTAAAAATTAAAAAGAAAAAGATTTTAAAAAAACGAATAAAAAATCGGGTATCAAAGTGCTCGAAAATATAAAATGAATGCACTAAAATGATTAGCGGAAAATAAGAGACTCGAAAAAATACAACGTTTTGTCAAATTTCGAAGTAAAATTTTCCCGTTAAAAATGATCTAACTGATCAAAACGTGGTCGAAAAGTCATCAAAAATTAAAACGTGCAAACCAGGTTATACTACGCTGAATGTATATTAAAATAAATGACGTCTGTAAACTCAATTTTAAAACTTTTCGTCCACTGATTTTACGCATAGTAGACTTTCAATTTGACTGATTCGACTGTAAATTTGACGGGTTTATTTTAGCTGATAATTTGAATAATATGCATGATGAAAAACATGATGTGCTATACAGATGATGCAAAGTGAAAATAAAATCAGATGAATGCAAAAAAAAAAATTTAAATGCCTGATCAAAATTTGGAATATGACACTATATAAGGGAGGGTCTTCCTCACTTCATACCACGCCAATTTCCAACATTTTCATAGCTCTTTGGAATTTATCTTTTTCTCTCTTTTGGAAAATATTTTCTATTTCACTTTTAATTGTGAAGTTTTACTTGTGAGGAAGATACTTTTGTAAGTGGTCGTCTGATCGTTTATATTCTTAAGGGTGTGATACGTTTAAGAGATAGAGTTTGGTTCTGGAGACCAACCTTTATAAAATCTTTGTTATTGGTTTATTAAGATTTGTCAGAAAAATCTTTGTTTTGGTTATTGAAATCAGTCATAAATTTCTAAATGGTTTGATAGTGTAGTTTGGGTAAAAGGTATCATTTGAGTAGGAATAAGTCTGTATTAAAGGTTTGTGGGCATAACTTTCAGAAGCTCAAAGTTTATAGTGAAATTTTCAAGAAGACCTGTTGGGGACAGAATTAGGCTAACGTTCGATCAAACCTGTATAAATCTTTGCCGCAATATTTCTAACCCTATCATTTTACTTTTTCGCATTTTACTTTAATTATTTAATTTTCCAATATGATTACTCACATAAAATTATTAAAACGATCTTAAAATGAAAAAATTTAAAATTAATCACAAATTTTAAATACCACAATTCACTCCCCCCCCCCCCCCTCCCCCCCCCCCCCCCCCCCCCCCCCCTCTCTCTTGTGCTTGAAATCAGTTATCTAACAAATGTCATTAGAGTCTAACTTTTGTTAAGGATTAATCGTCTCAGGAGAAAAAATATCTTCAAGCTATTCACTAAACAAATCTCCTTAATTTTTTAATGGAAAAGGGTATTGTTTGTGAAAAGAAAAAATAAATTTTTTGATATAAGAAATGAATCGTGATATTTATAAGGTTGTGTATGAAAATCCATTTGTCATGAAATATTTTATTTGTAACAGTATTTTTTTTTTTACCATTGTGAATGTTTATTATTATGATGAACACGTTGAAAATCGATTCTCATAAATAATGCAAAAAAAAATTGTGATGTACATCAAAGAAACACCCACCTACAGAGTTTTATTCCCTAAAAATTCAAGTGAGATTAATATGGGTTTAGTTGACTATAGAGTGTTATTCACTAAAAATTCAAGTGATATTGATATGCGTCTAATTGACTATGAAATGTTTTTCCCTAAAAACTCAAGTGAGATTGATATAGGTTTAGTGTGGAGATAAACAAAATTGAAAGAGCACCTTACACTAATTATTTAAGTTTTACAATACTCCAATATCATGGTGCTCAAAAAACAACTATATGTTTAATACATGGGAGACTCACTAGTTGCTTTCAAGCAATCTGGTTAGCCTCAGTTTGGAATGAGCTAGAAATTGAAGTTAGCAAGTGATAGCATATGGGCCAAAGAAGGCATGACCGAAGAAGCCCACAATGATATCAGAGGAAAGTTCAAAAGAAAGATCACTAGACCAAAATATCTAGAAGATTATGTCACTTAAGATGCAACAAATTCGGTTATGAGAAAATGAGCTAGCAGCTTATCATTGACTTCACAAAATCTTGCAAAGATTATTCTCTAGATTCTTTCTTTTGAATGCATTCTGTCACTATCAGTTTGTTATATATTATTTATAAATAGAATGTTGAAGGAATGAATAAAATAAGCAATTTTTCATACTAATATTCTCTCTTTCTTGTTCTAAGGAGGCGCCTAGTCTTCGAAATCTAGATTTACTACCCCATCCCTAACAGCAAGCCTATGATCTTGTTCTTGGACAACAAATATGCAATTAATTCAAAAAAACATTTGTGCTATATAGAAGAAGTGAGCATATTGAAACAAGATTTTATTTTCTTAGAGAGAAAGTCATCAAGGAGGTGATAAAGGTGGTCCATTGCTCTATCAAAAAAACAATTAGCAGAACTATTCACACAAAGTTGTCAAACTCGATACATTTGAAAACCTTTAAAAAATAATTGGTGTGACATCTCTAAATAACTTGAATTAAGGAAGGATAGTGTTTTTATAATGAATTCAATTTATCTTTAAAAACACGGTTTATTAATTAGTTACAGTCAAGGTAATAAAAATCAAACTGGACATCAAAATAGTGTATTTACGAGTTAAAAAATTTAAAATTAGACCGAAATTTGATCCGGATTAAATCGTTTATAAACCATTAGCAAAATTATTCACAAAGTTGTCAAGCTTGATACATTTAAAAACCTTTAAAAAATAATTGGTGTAATATCTCTAGATAACTTGAATTAAGGAAGGGTGTTGTTTTTCTTGTAATTTAATTTATCTTTAAAACGACGGTTAATTAGTTAGTTAAAATTAGACTCAGGTCTGATCTGGATTGAATTGTTTATAAGTCATTAGCAAAACTATTCACAAAGTTGTCAAACTTGATACCCTTAAAAACCTTTAAAAAATAATTAGTGTGATATCTCTAAATAACTTGAATTAAGGAAGGATGTTGTTTTTCTTGTAATTCAATTTATCTTTAAAAAAACAATTAATTAGTTAGTTACAGGCAAGGTAATAAAAATCAAACCAGACATCAAAACAGTATATTTACCGGTTCAAAATTTTAAAATTAGACCAAAGTCTGATCCGAGTTGAATCGTTTATAAACCATTAGAATTCACAAAATTGTGAAGCTTGATACATTTGAAAACTTTTAAAAAATAATTGGTGTGATATCTCTAAATAATTGGTGTGATATCTCTAAATAACATGAATTGTTTATAAATAAATATTTTTTTATATATAAGAATAATAATGCAGAAATTATATTTTTAAAATGATATAAAAAATTAATTGATAATTTTAAAATAGTGACACTTAATTGTTTATTTAATTTTTATAGCCTTTTATATATTAAAATTATATTTAATCATTTCAAAATGTTTAAAATTTATCAATAAACAAAATAATACAAAAGAATCTAAAATGTCAGGAATCCCATTTTGTGTTAAGTATGCAAGAATGCAAACAAATTTCATAACTAAAAGTAATGGACAATAAGTTAAGTATGTCTAAGACTTTCATTTTAATATAATAATAATAACCTAATAACGTATTAGATATTGTGTAATATGTATTGTTTTAATTATGTATGATTATATAAAATTTACTTTCATTTAAATAAATAGAAAACAACAAATGAATTGAAAATAGAGAAACGAAACCAAACGCTTTATCATGTTTTTTAAATCAAAAACGAAATACGGAATGAATTTAGAAATTGTTTAAACCTCTAATATTTTTATTTTAACCAATTTTTGTTTTAAACCCTGATTCTTCTGCAATTCAATTTTCAGGTTTAAGAAATTGTTTAAACCTCTAATATTTTAATTTGAACCGATTTTTGATTTAAACCCTGATTCCTCTGCAATTCAATTTTCAGGTTTAAGTAAACCGACTAAAATTTGAAAAACACGAGAAAATTGCTCTTAATACGAGAAAATTTGAGTCCTTGAATTGATAATTGCTCTTATATACCAAAAAAGAAACCAACAAAACACAAGAGAAAAATTCCAGTAAACCAACAAAATTTGGTAATAGAGACAAAACATGTTTATCCTTAATTTAAACCATTACAACCTAAAATTATTCCTTTAACATTTTACATAAAATTGACTATATATCAATAACAAAAAACATTAGACAACATTGAAACATTGTTGTAAAATAAAAATTCCCAACACAAAAATAATCAATGAAAAAATGATACACTGCATTGTTTTGTTTTTTCCACTGCTCCATCGCACAAGACATATCATCATCATCATTACCATCTATCTTATCTAAAGCAAAAATAAAAATAACTACATTTTTATCTTTTATCTTTATCTGTTGTAGAAAAGCTACTACAAATCACAATTTTTCTTCTTCATTTGAAAGCCAAACACAATATGAACCATTCATCACTGCACCTTCTTTTCACAAAAAGATACAGAAAAAGGAGGGGGAAACAAATATTTGGGTCAGAAGAAGAATGAAAATTGAAAAATGAAAAAAAAAAATGCCACTTCTTGATCCTTTTTTTCTGAGCTAAATATTTTGAAGGGCACTTTGTAGTGTGTGAGTTAATGACTTAATGTAGCTTCCAACTTAATGGTTGGTGTTTGGTAAAGAAGGGAAAAGAAACCTTCTTCATGGCAAAGTAACCTCAAAAACAGGTTAACAAAGCAAATATGTGTTTTCCAACCTTTGTTTCGTCATGCATAGTACATGTATAAGCTATTTGCAGCGGCACATGCGATTGAATTTTCACTCGGGTGCCATGCTAAGTGTAGCAGCTTTGTTGTGAAGTCGAATGAGTTTCCGTTTGCATCGACACCGGTGTTTTCAGCTCCTGTTCAAGATCGTCACAATATTTGAAATCATGTTAGTATGCTTTTATCATATAAGTGCTTATGAACACATGTGACAAGGTCATTAAATAGAAGGAAAAAAACTAACCGCGTCGTACAACTCTTGTGATGCTGTTTCCGATTGATCTGGAAGGCCTTGACGGTGTTGGAACTTGTCGTCTGAGGAAATGAAAAAGTTCATATAAATGACGCAATGTTAACTAAAGATCGGTTTGTATTGGAGTTTCCGGTATAAAATGTTACCTCATTGGATTTTTGCTGGCTTCCAAAGTTGTAGCTTCTGTACTTCCCGGGGCGCAACCAAACACGCGGAATAGGTTGCTGGTATCAAACGAAACAAAGTAGTTAGATGCAGGCTCAAAGATGATAACAAAACCAAGACCAATGAAGTTGAATCAGACCTGTAAGAACCGGTTGAAACTCGTGATCCATCACCACTTAGACAACACTCAAACTTATCAAAAATTGAATCGTTTTCGTATAAATCACATAACTGCACATTTAAAAATAAAAAATAAACTGTTAATATAAGTCAAAAAAACAGCAGAAACTCATAACTCATTAATCTAACCAAAAGAAATCTAACCTTTGGCCTTAAATACTCGTGAACGCGGAATGTCGAAACTGGGCCAGAATCCATATTAATGTCCCATAACTGAAACAAGGAAAGAAATAAGATGAAGTGAGACCAGAAAGATTCAGGACATTACAAGCCGAAGGTACCCAATCATAGAAAAATGTTGAATCACTCATTGGGTTCAACAACCACCATCAATAATTTCTATCAAAGTATGGATTTTGGAACAACAAAGCTTTCAAACCTTCAGAGACATGTAATCGCGACTAAGTATGTATCTTCCCTCCCTTGCAAATTTTATATCCGAGATAGAAGCAATAATCTCTGTGAAAAACGATCTGGAACCAGGGGCCTCCTGTTCTTCAAATCTGTACAGCAGGTAAGCGTTGGTGAGTCAATCAAACATGAAAAATTACATAAATGCATAAAAATCGGCACGGGAAAACTAATTTTTCACTTTAGAGAAGTCAAATCCTTTTCATGGGACAAATGAAAAGACCAGCTAAAGATGATCTTACAACTTGGCATGGGAATCACATAAGGCTGACTGCCGCAAGTCAACAAGACGAATTGAGCCCTTCGAACTGCTATATGCCAATGTATTACAATGTGTCGGGTGAAATTCTGCTGATGTTATAACCTCTGCAATAGTATTATCTACGGTTAATGACTCTACCAATACTAATAAAAAAACTCAGTTCAAAAGACCGTCGAGTTTCTTTTAACTAGCATCACAATGAACAAGTTATTTCGCCGAGTTTCTTTTAACTAACATAAAACTATAGTACTGAAAGCTTACCAGTAAGATCCTCCATATTCGCAGGCTTTACATCAACAATATTAAAACTTTGATTGCTAATTTCCAGATTCCAAAGATTTATTCGCAAATCATCGGCGGATATGAAAGTTTCTCCATCACTAGAAGATATTACAATCATTCAAATGTGATCAGATTTCAGAAAAAATGTGCATTACAATAAAAATCATGTAGACATGAACTCAAGAAATAAAAGTCAACATTTCCAAATCAACATTGCAGGAAGAAAATATATTTATTGTATACAATAAGAAAACCAAATCACCTGTTATTTGAAATAGAATTGATGTGATAGTCATGAGCATGTGCGTATACTCTACGACATCGAGCCAACAGACTGGTCTCATGGCTAGCTACCTACATATTTTAAAGTGCAAGTGTAAGCACTACGACGTACCGAACAAGTGATTGTCATGGTTTAAAAATGAAGCATAGAACCGTAAATAAGCCTATACTATACACAATAAACAAATATTTGAAAAAGAATTCAACTGCGAAGGCTGAAGGTTGAATACAACTACCGAGGGTAATCTTAGTGACGGTAAGCCTCCTGGTGGAAATGAGAAATCATTGCTTAGATAACTATATGTTTTATCTGAAGATCCTCCATTTGCAAGATGTGGCTTAAGGATACAAGAATTGCTCGAACTTGCGATAGATACATTTCCATTTGCTTTTGAAGGGTCAATATTCATGTCAGAAATTTTCTTCACCTTCTTTTCTTGAACCTGTTCAACTCAGATAAAGACAAAAATAATAAGCGACATAGGAGACAAATCAATCACATTAATTCATATAAAAACTAACACGGTGTGCATTCATTTCATACCTTCCAAAATTTGATTGTTTTGTCATTTGTAGATAGGAGGAATACAGCACCATTAGCTGTTTGGCACCATTTGATCTTGTTAATTTTCTCTTCTATTTCCAAACTCTTAAGATAGTCAAACTGAAACAACAATCATCGTGTTATAAACATCGAAGTTTCCGAGCCAATGATAGTTTTAGCTGCATTAACTGGTGTCTGGTGACGAAAAATTACCTCGGGCTCGTGACTCTGAAACTCAGTTTTATAGCGGAACTCAGGATGCCGGCTATTAGAATAGTCAGTACTCTCCAAATCCTTTCTTGATCCATGCTGCTAAATTACATTGTAAATACACAGATATTAACAATACCAAGTTGATTACAAGGAATCATTCAAAACTAAGTTTATATGTTTTGCTTAGAAATTAAAAAATCAGACTTACATCTTTTGAATCTGTCCGTTCAAAGAGAACTACTCGACCACCGCGGTCACCGGTAGCAAGATGATCACCAGACTTGTCAAATTCAATAGCAGAAATTATGTCCACTGTAGAAACAAAGTTGAATCGATAATTAGGAAACTAATCCAGATAGGTCAATCACTCTGGACTGGAAGAATTTACGATTCTGTTAATGGTGTCTATAGGCAGAACATAAATACCCAACAAAAAAAACCTACTGAATTCATATACTCTCTACTTCCTTAAACAAAAGTGCTCATGTATAAGTTGTTTTATAAGGAAAGATAAAGTCAAACGGTTTTTCGTATATGCTGAAAACAACTTATGTAAATGGCAGAAGTTGTTTCTACAAGTTTCAACAAACAGTCTCAGTAGTGTGTGTCAGAAAGTAGATAAATTCAAATAAGCTAATTCAAACCGACCCAGGGGCATGTTTGGATTGATTTATTTGAGTTTATCTACTGAAAAATGTATGGTGACATTGTTTGACAGATCTTATCAAACCACCTTATGACATTTTTCATAAACTTATTTTTATAAGTTATCCAAAGCTAGATTATGAAAACAACTTATAGCATATAAAAAAACAATTTAAACTTATTCTATCTTTTGTTATAAAGATAGTTTATGCAAGCTTATTCATAAGTGCTTATTTTGATAAAATATCGAAATAAGTGTTTGTGCTATAAGCTGCAAATAAGTTGTTTATCCAAACGAACCCTAGATCTTAGTTGCAGCTTAACATGAATATTGCATGTTTGCTGCAAGCCAAACCGTCTTTTCAAAAGCAAGGTTTCTAAGAAAAAAGAAACAACGGTCTTTCGCCAAGTCCAAATATTCATCATAATCTAGCAAGGAGCCGTGTCAAAAGTATCGAAAACTAGAGACATAGAATCAAATCATCCATATTACACAAATCCAATTTCTATAGAAGATAACATTGCTCCCTAGCAACAAAAAATAGTGCTACCAATACCATCAAGATGTTGGATGCATACTCAATCCCTTCCAAATTCGTTTAGGACATGTTTGGATTGGCATGCCGATCGGTGAGTGACAAAATCCCGGAGTGCCAATGTTATTTTGTCAAAAGCTACCCTCTAAAGCTTCAAACAAAATGACAAAAATGCACCCATGATCATTTATACTTCCTCCTCCTATGACAAACTCATTTGCTCCATGTCCATTCTCAGTGCCACTCATCAAACTATACTACACACCATTAAGATCTAACCTCAAACACTCAAACTCGCATTGAAAACTTAATAAATCAATTAACCCCAACATGAACTACTTGAAATCAATGTCAACTCCAAAACTAAAACCACTTCATTAACTACTCACTTTCACTTTCACACTCATCGAATCAATCCAACCAAGTAAAAAATTTAACAATGCAAAAAACCTCACACAATCAAACATCGATCACACAAACACGATCCAAAACAGATCCAAACCAAATGGAACGAACCAAACCCTAATCCCAACACAATAAAGTGGATCCAACAACATAGTACCCTCCAAAAAACCACAACACAACAACACGTGAACAAACAATTACCTTCCTGAACTTCCTCTCCAGCCGCACGTTCGCCAAAAACCTGCGAGAATTTCCACTCCAACGGTTGCAAAGGTTCCTCCGGAGCTACAACAGCATCATCGCCACCGTTCATTTTCCAATCAACGGAACACCAAAAAAAATCACCACAATCTCTATCTACCAACGCATCGAAGATTTCCTTCCTGGGTTTTCACAAGATCATACTTTCAAACACACCCATCAAAAAAGATACAATTTTTTTCTTCTCACACCCTTGTTTCGAATTGGATTTCCACTTCGACCATTTTTCTTCAACACCCACACAAAAAAATCAATATTTTTTTTTTGTCTTCTCTCTATTGAAAAGGAGAAAAATGGAAAAATTTTGTTTAGGATAAAAATTGACGAAGCAAACGGTTCTTTGGATTTGGAGATGCTAAAAAACACAAAACACAACCCAAGCAAAAAACACACTCTCTCCTCTGTCTACTTCTTCTCTCTCTCAATAATAGGTTCCTGTTTGTTCTTTTCGTACGTAAATAAAATTAAAATATATAAATAAATTTATTTATAATTTTTTTGTCACTGATAACCTCACGTGTCTGTCATACGAGGTTGTTCAATGGGCAGAGTATTTATGGGCTAGATGTGAAAGTGTTGTTATATGAATGGTCTGTGATGAGAAAAGGAGGTGAGGTTAGAGAATAGTATTTGGATTAATTGAAAAAATTTCACTAACTAATTAATTAAACTATGTACTTGTGATAGGATCGGAGAAAATGTTGAAAGGAAAAGGTTAAGGTGAGATTTGTGGGAAATGACATATTTGTCCTTGCCTTTTCATTTTTTTATATTCTTTCACAATTACTCTTGAGATCTTATAAAAAGAAGAAAAGTGGGCCACAATGAGGTAATTAAATGCTTCATGATTGTCTAATATCATTTATTAGAATATATTTAATAAAATAGTTGAATAAAATGAAACATAATAAATTTTGGGACAATAATAAAAAAATAATAATAAATATTATATTGACTAGAGTTTAGACGAGAGTATGGTGTCAGTCTCTCCGTTTTTTTAATGCACACAGCATAGAAAAATAAACGTGTATATATTTTAAGGATAATATTAAAGAAAAAAATTAATTTAACAATATTTGCTTTCAAGCTATCTACCCAATATCCAAAGAGAATTAAAATTAGTTTATGTTTTTATAGGAGTTTTCAGTATTACCCTTGTGAAAAGAAAGAATATATTACTAACGTTTATACGGACACACTTTAAAAGAAAGAATATATCTATCCTGTATCCGTTTATCTGCATTTTTAATGAACACACGTTAAAATATAAATGAATATTTTTTTATTTAATTATACTTTAAATTTAAATTTTTTAGATACTCTCATGTTTGTAAGAAATTTTAAAATATTATTTTTTTAATTAATTAAAAGTTAAATTATTTTTCAAATTAAATTTTTAAGTAATATGACATTTACTTTGTATGTCTCTAACATAAAAAGTAAAAATTATAAATAAAAAATTAACAATAAAATTCAACTAATTTAAGAAAGTGAATGGTCAGTGTTTCAAATTTTCAATCATTCACAATAAATTTTGTTATTAATATTATTATTCTGTTTTTTCTCATGGTTAAAGATGTGTTTAATATAAAGGTCACACGTATAGAAATAAAAAATAAAATATTGAAATGATGTTATGCCTCTTTTTTATGTGTTTTATTTTGTATATATAAGTTGAATGAGTGGAAAGTTACTCAACCAAATAGATATGGAAGTTATTCAATGTTGTAATTGTCATTGTATATAATTGTGTATACCTATCCCATTAAAAAAAATATTCTCATTTATAATACAGATCAACACTTTGAAAAATATAACAATAAAATATGTAAATTTAAATGACAACTAATTCAATTATAATCAAACATCAAAAAAGAAAGATTAGAAACAAAAAATTTACCACGACAAAATATCACTAATTATAATCAAAATTAAAATAAATAAAAAATAAGTATATGCAATGGAAAACGATAACTTTAAAGAGAAAAAAAAGATGATGATTGAAAAAGAAATAAAAAGAGAGAAGAATTGTCCTTTAGAGATGATCAGGGGTCCTAGTAATCTAGAGTTCGGCCTGAGAGATCATAAGTTTGACCAAACATTGTTCCCATCAAGATAATGAATACAAATTATTTTAAAAATAGAGTAAAATAAAATCAAAACAATGTTCTAAATAATTCATTTGAACAAAAATTATTCTTAACTATATGAAATAAGTGATGAACAACAAAAATTGAAACTATTCGAATCAAGCATGCATGAAATCTACCATAACAATATAATTGTAAATTTGAGATAAATTATTCCATAGTCAAACATAAAGAATAAAAAAATTATATACAACAAAAAAACATAAATAAAACAAAATTGTATCAAAGTAGGATGTAAAATTTAACATTTTTATGTAATATAATTTCTTCAAACATTTAATTGATTGAATTATCCCAACATTTAAATGATAAATAGTAACATAATTGGTTAAATGACAAATTTTAAGTATAAAATAGTGATATATTTTAGATTGAGATAGATCTCAATTTTCCTAGATAAGATGAATATTACTTTTTTTTCTTTCAAATTTGCTGCTTGAAATTCTATTGTACATGCAAGTTTTGTTGGTAAAGTCTTTTCCTCATCGGGTGCTACCATATGAGAAGGAAAAGTGACGGATAAAAATGAAGCAAAAAAAATTCAAATGAGGGAAGTTATTCAATTACCTTATATTTTGTTTTTTAAATATAAACGGTCACAAAATGGGTTTTTGATTTAAGAATGATGTAACCGTCTTTCACTTATTATAATTTATCTTTGAAAATAATAATTTGAATACATAAAGGGTAAAATAAGAAAGAAAATAGGACTATGTGTAGTGTTTGAGGTTTGTTGTAGTTTTGAGGAAGTACCCTGGGTTGGTTCTTGATATGGATTTGATGTTTGAGTGTATTATTATTGTCGAGTTTAAAGACTAAAGAGGGTTGAATCATGGAATCAGTTTTCTCTTATCACATTCGTCCAAGAAAACAATACTTTTAGAGTTTAAAGTCAGAGGAAGGTGGAATAGTTTACCTCGGTGGCAATAAGGCTTGCAAGGTTCATTGTATTTGTATGGTCAAACTTAAAATGTTCGATGATCGTGAATTTCTTCTTCATAACATGAGGTATGTTCCAGAGCTCATGTGAATTTTTTTTATCCATAGACATGTTTAATGATCTAGGATATTTTACTAGAGTTGAACATTGGGTGTTGCAAATTTAACATAATTAAGTGATCACAGCTAAATGATCTAAAATATGTAGCTTATATATTTTAAAAGGGTTTAATGTTATTGTTCATTTATCATCGTCTAGCAAAAAATTTCATGAAAATAACAAGACACAGGGTTTAAGGTCAAGACATGATAGATGTCTGAAGAATATTTCATAACACTTTAATGAAGTTTGCAAAAGACCATGGATAAAAATGCATTTGATCGCTGAGTTCTTATGGAGCTTTAGGGGTAAGGCTGGTGTCAATGCAACTTACCTTATTTGTAGGTATTCATTTACATGAATAAATTCTAAAAGTTTATAGAGGTTTGGAGTAGGAAGAGTGTAACCTACTCCATCATGAAATTCATCAAAACTTTTCTTATTAATCAAACCAAACCAATTCATTTTGATGACAAAGTTGTAGTTTGCATCTTCAATGGTTATCTAAAAGATAAGAAGTGTTATGAGCAGCTGGAAGTGGAACTAAGGTGATCAAAGTTCATTAATCACAAATATATTACTTTTAGTGAGTCCTTGTCAGGGAAAGAAAAGTATAGACTTGGGGTGAAGCTTTTAGAAAATGTAACAGAGAACACGCAATTTAAGATGAAGGTTCCTACGATAGATACTAGTAGTAGTGAGGGAACAATTACATAGCTCTCTAATTATCATTTGACTTATGGTAAGATAAGGAGAGAGATTGTACCATATAAAAAGAACGATTATGCAGACATTGGGTGTTATACTTTGAATGTGACTAAAAGGTTGTAAAAATCAGAAATATGGATATTTAAGAAGGCTTTTGAAAGTAAGTAGAGTAAAAAATATTTGAAGAGCCATTCTTGTGGGCTTGTTAGAATACTAAAATAGAAAAAGGTGGTTGGGAGTAAGGAGATGCAAGTCTCAAGATCGAGGTTCAAGCAAGGCTTGAACATGATAAAAAAATTCAATATTGTTGCATTGATTGAAAGCAGCAAGGTAGATGATGGGTAAATTGGCATCACCACAATTTCAAGTTAATGTGGAGATTGTAGAAATATGCCTTAAAATCTTAAGTGATAAAATAGTAAGTCTGTGGATAGAAGAATAGAAGATAAGTTATCCTCAGCTCAGTCAGTTAGTTCAGTAACTTTGTATCCAATTCCAAATCAACAAGAGAAAGGAATCATGCTTCAAGATTTCAGAAACTAGAAATCAACTTGGAAGTTTACGAGGGTTCGGGTCCAATTTTATTTGTTCGCGTGTATTGACTTCATTGGTTTTTTAGTTCGTGGATCAATTTCTTATTGAATTGAGTTTTAGGTTTGTTATGAATATGTTAGGTTTCGACAATTATAAATATATATCTCCATCATTTTTGTCTTGACAACCTTCAAAATTTTAGAGTTAAATACATAGTTAAAAACTTGAAAATTCAAGTGGCAATCTTAGAGAAACAATGGTGAATTCGTAAGAGTGTGTTCTTAGAATTTGAGAAATCCTTGGAGATATATCTAAGGGAGGTTGGAAAACAGTAAACACCTGGGGAAAAAAAGGGTTTATTTGTGGACACTTAGGTGACTATTTTTTTGAACCCATTTGTAATATTTTGTAACAATTCTTAAAAGTACAGTGAATCGAAGATCTGACATCTTCCTTAAACTAGATTGTTTGATCGACTTGAGTAAACAAACTATTATCTTTCTTTCTTGTATGTTATCTTCTACTACCAAGTTAACTTGCTGTCATTTTACATAGAGAACTATTTTTGCTAAAGACCATTTATTTTGGTTGACATTGTTCTTTTTTCCGTACAACAATTTTCTTAGTATATTGAACTCTTTTAATTTCACAACATTACTAAAACTTAATATTAAATCATTCATGATGGATTGAAAAAAAAAATCAATTTTAATACATTAGGATTTTTATCCATTCTTATCAATTTCTTAAGAATTCAACATTCAAACATAAAAATATCCCTGAAAGATTGTATAGAAAATAGTTTATCTTAATTATTATATTTATGAAGATCATTTATTAATAATCTAAACCAATCCTTCCTAAGAAACAAGAGGTGGGTGATCCTTGAATGCTTACAGTTGTTAGTAATATTCTCCACACTTATCATATACCTGTAGATGACTGTTGATAGGTGGTGTTCGAAGCATTTGAATTGTGGTGAACTGACCCTATAGAATACTTACAATTTCATAGACAAACCAAGTCAGCTGGTATGGTTCTCTGCTCTTTTGTAGAATCATTCACAACAAATTTCCAATTGATGACAACCTTAGTGCAAGAGGTTAGAGTATTCCTTATGTCTTCTCTCTTTGTACCAATCACATTGAAACCACACAACTAGCATAACATTAACAGGTCTGTCACCTCGGTGAAAGGTTGTGATGACGGTAGGAATTATCCATTCCATATGGTATGCTAGGAATCAGCTCAAGCTCAAAGACATCAAAATTGGTTGAGAAGCTAGAAATGTCTCCATAAAATTAACATAAAATTAAAAATATCTAAATCTGCAAGAATAATTAATCAGCACCATCAAAGGCAAATTGATCTTTGCATATGATAGATTACAGATCCATCTTGAACAGAGTGAAACCTATCATTACTTTATGATACATTGGTAAGACTGTAAACTAAAAATCTATGGTCTAACTGAGAGAGGTTTAGGCAAGGTTTCAAAGACAGGAATTGATAGAGTCTGTAGCTTGCAATCACTTGAAATGAATTTAGCATTTTCTTCAATCATTATCTTGTTGATCAACTTCATTAAAACTTGTTCAAGTTCTTCTCCATCACACCAATCATGGATTTCAGCCTTAACAAGCGAAGGATCTTTGCATATCAAATCCCATACTGGAAAATTCTTCCTTGGCATCACAAAGTCTCTTTCTCTAAGCCTCAAACTAGGACAGTAATCACCAGCACCATCACCAAGGTAGATGAACTTCTTGTTATCCACTTCACAAACTGTATTTTGAATTCTATCAATGATTAAGCCCTGCAATACACAAAATAAAAAAGTTGCAATTAGATTTTGAAAAACATTATAATTGATATATATTTGAAAATGATGACTTTGTATAAAAAATATAGTTTATTTTATATTTTCACCGAATCTAGTGGCCACAAATAAGAGACAAAAACCACTAAAAATGGATGGTTAGGTAAGCATAATATTTTAAGGCTAGAAAGATAGGAGACGACAATATCCCAACCTTATAGGATCAAGTAAAATCCCTATCTTAATTATTAAAAATAAGATTAATTATTTTTGTAAAATTCTGAACAATTTGTGAATTTTATAAAATAAAATAAAAACTAAAAATTTCTTGAATTTATAATAAGAATATTTAATCAGATAGTGAAGTTTATACCTTGCACATATTTGGAGGGCAGAGATTGCAGCCATGTGAAGCCTTATTGAAGTCATGATAAGGCAAAATTGTTAATCTTCCTTGTTGATTAACATAACCTGGATTAGTGTTAATCTCTGTAAAGCATTCACTTATACCCAAATGCTTTAAAATAGTTTCAATGAAGAACACATTGGCATCACTCACAATCCTCAAATCACATCCTAAAGCATGTGCGGATTTAATAGCAGGTATGATTCTGGGATGAATCGGAATCCTATGAAGAACATTTTCAATCTCTTGAATTGTAATACCGTGCGAATGAAGCTCCTTCATCATCCTATCCTGTAATTCCAAAAAGAAATTAAATAAAAAACATAAGCTTTAGTTATTTATTCCCTTAAAATAGTGCAGATAAAAAAGTTGGAAAAAACAGAGGAGAATTAAGAGCATACATACCATAAGGGAGTTCCAAGGCATTGTGGGAAGAAGCTGATTGAACAAATCGGTGAAACCCAATTCATCGACAACCCAGTTATCACTATCGCAATCAATGATGGTTTTGTCAAAGTCGAAAACAATAACTAGATTAGACATTGTTTGGTTGAGAAGAAATAGAAGGTAAATGGGTGTTTCTTTATTAGTGATTTCAAAATCGGTTATTGGCTTGGATTTGAACACAGAGAGAGAAAGGTATTTATAATGAAGAAAAGTAAAATGCAACACCGAAAATAAAAAGGAATCTTTGAATTGAGAATGGAATATTACATAGCATCCTCATAAAAGTAGAGGCTACTTGGAGAAGTTAGAGCGGTATTTATCTTTAGATTATTTATTCAAAATTATTACTCCCATGGCAAGTAATATTAGATCTGAGCCGTTGGATTTGATGAAAAGTTGGAGTTTGTGGGAGATTAAGGCACTAGACGCCACCTGGTGCTGTCGTTATTATTGTGAGTGTGTAGTGCACTACTGAATGAATTCGGTACCGATGAATAGATGCAACCCACCAGAATATTCTGGGTATAGTCCGGTTTTATTTATGAAAAATGCTATTTCTACACCCTTTTTTACACCCAATACTTACACCGTATGCACTATTCACCGTATTTATACGGTGAACAGTGTTTTTTTATTAAAATAATATATTTTTTTAAAATATTATTTTTTTTTTAAAAAAAATATTTATTTTTAAAATTTATTTTATAACACAAATATAATATTGCGCATTAACCAACTTCACAGTTGCATTAACCACAAAAATCTACATTATTAGCCAATTATTTTACCTATAATTTATTAACCACTTTCACTACTTCATTAACCAATAAAATACACACTATTAACCATGTTCTGGGAAATTTGTTCAAGTATTTGTGAACAGTAATTGAGGTGTAAGGTGTAGAGATGGGTGTCAACATAGCAATGCTGTTTATTTATATGGTACTATATAATTGTCTATTTAATTTCGAAAACATTTATGGAAAGTTACAAGTTTGTTTACTTTCTTTTTTATAATTAAAATTTTATTTTCTAAATTTATTAAATAATTGATGAATATAAATTATATATATAATTTAAATATACCAGTTATTCAATTAGAGTCAGTTTAGTTGTTTAGTTATATTGATGTATTAATTGTATAAATATGTTATTTAGTCGTTATATTTATTTATCTTGTGGTTTAGTTGTTGTTTAAATTGTTGTTTAGTTGATCTTTAAATTATTATAACCGAATGTTGTGATCTTTATGAAAATAACGTTATTTTCAATATCAAATAAAATGATTACATAAAATGAATCATGTATAAAATACAACACTAAAAATAGATTAGTGAATTAAGTTGTGGAACTTGCTCTAACATTAGGACAATTTGTACGATTATGTCCGAATTGTCGGCATAAACTACATAATCTCACTATTTTGTTTGTCGTATCCATTTCGGTTCAAATACGCGTGTTGTTATGACGACCCTTTTTCTTTCTTCTCATAGTTTCATTGTGTCAAACCATGTCCCCTTGATATGCAGACTAATAATCCTCCTTTGATACTACTGAAAAGCTATTATTGTACACATAGCATAAGTTTATGACTTTGTGAACGAAGGATAGTCAGTTGGAAGGGTCTTGTCGAGCATGTGAACATGCCGCTATGAAATGGGAGTAAGACGTACGGAAGGCTTGAAATTTTCCGCAATCGCACCAACCTCTATTTAGTTCGACTCGATAGTATCCCCTTTGTCTCCCTTCTTTGTGGTCCATTGCCTCATATACATTAAACCAACCTTTACGAAGGTCAAACATTGTGATAACATGTGTGTTACCTTTGGCAGCTTCCTCCTTAATAAATTTCATTGAAGTTTCACTAAACAACTGCCCCAGTTGTAACATTGAACTTCACTTTGAACGTATGATCACAAACAGTGACCCTAACCTAAAATAGGTTGCACTCACCAAAGCGGTTATTAGTAGGTTTCAAATACCTTTGAAGTCAGAGTTTATTGATTCCACGAGATTTGTTGTCATGTGGCCCATCGTTGACCATTGTCGAATTCCCTAATTCACTTCTCCACTAGAATATTATCAATCCACCTTACTGCATATGCATTTGTCAATCAGATCTCTTCGCAACAATGTTTGAACAATGGTTTTATTAATGCATACCCTGCATTTATAACCTTCTTTTGAAGCATCTTGCCTTTGATCTCCCGCATGAAATTTTGAGCGATGTATCTAATGCAGTAGACATGTGTAAAATGAGGATCTTCCCAGCCGTTATCAAGGTTTTTATATGCACTCTCAATAGATGGATGTCTGTCTGAAATCAATCATAAGTTAGACTGTGGAGAAACGTGTAATCATAAATTTTTGAGAAAAAACTTCATCCACCAGCATTCTCCCCTTCAACTAGAGCGAAAGTGATTAGAAAAATGTTATTGTTGTCTTCTTGTGCTACTGCCATGAGTAGTGTTTCTTTATATTTTCCGTACAACCATGTTCCATATATTTGAATAATAAGTTTGTAGAATGCAAAACCTTTGATGCATAGTTCATACGCCTAGAAGAATCAGTGGAATACTCCATTTCCAATAACACAAGTCCTGTCTGGGGTATATGCTGACAATGTCTCCAAAATAGTAACGGTCCCCATAGCATAATGCTTAAGTGCCACCATGTGTTGTGAAAGTTCTTTGTACAAATCCTCCCAATTTTTGAATACTCGTTCAACTGCCTTAGTCTTACCTATCCATGCCTTCTTGTACGAGGGAGTATAATTATATTGTATAACAATATGTGGGGTTATTATACTCACCTTGAATTATGAATCCTTGCTAATGACAGACAAAATTTCATCGCATATTAACTGAGAGCTGAGTTTGCGATGATCCTGCATCAGATTGGTTATTATGCAAGTGTGAACTAAACCCATAAAACCTATCTCCCAAGAACCACTCCTCTTCAAATAAGACGATGTCAGCCGGAACATGCAAAGCACATTACGACATGAAATATTGTACCTTGTCACATTAGTGCAGTCGATGGCATAATCAACTGAGATTTCCATGTGATACTTTTTTTTATAGCTCTCACACAATCTTATTTTGTGTGAAACCTGTCTCGCACTTTTAAACTTGTCTCTATTTCAAATGTGAAAAATTTGATCGTCTATTTATTGTAAATCGGGTAACATCGGTGTTACAAAAATTAAAATCGAATAAGTCACATTCAAATGTCTTTCCATTGATGTGAGCATTGATCATGTATGTGGTCAATGATCCATTTTGTGAAGTGCAATGTATTTTAATTTATTTTAGTGGTGATAATGCAGTGTGAGTTGGTTCTAAAATGAATACACGTGCACTTAATAGGATCCAAACAACATGGCCAAAATGAACCTGTGCGCCATAGGCAATGGCACATGCCTTATGTTCTTCATAAAGGCGCAATTGCATGTGACTTGTCATGTGTTCTACTACATTGCATGCATGCTGCTCTGAGTCTAGCCTTCATAACTTGCAAATCTGCCATGCCGCACTGCATACATGGCCCTAGGACACGCCACTTTGACTGGCGTATGTGTAGAAAAGTAAACTCATGCACCATAGGCTATGACACATTAGCGGTAAGTTGCATGCAAAAAAATTTCACGTGAATGCTTTCATCATCTATAAATATGGCTATATCTCAAAACATTTCTATAAAAAACAATCCACAAATACACTTTATCAGTAACAAACATAAAAAATATTTCTAAAATATGGCTTTATTAACCATGAGTGACACACATAGAGGAACTATTAAAAACATTGTGGAGTTTGTAAGTCATTATTTCGAATGTATTACTAAATTTGTCGTTAATACTCTTCCTTAATTATTTTTTTTAGGATCCAAAGAGATTTTGCTTTCATGTACATGAATATGTCCCACACGACGAATTGATATAACCATATTTACGAGTAGCCGGTTTTGGTCATTTACTCAACATAGTCTCATACTTTGTTGATTATAAATTTATCTTCGCTTTGATGGAATGATATGGACCTGATACACACACATCTCCCCCCCCCCCCCAATTCGATGAATGTACTGTCACGCTAGAGGCGTGCACATTCTTGGATCTAACTATTGAAGGTAGGATTGTTAATGGTAGAGTTAACCAATATAACGCAATATGTGAACAACTTTTTGGTGCCTCTTTGTTTGAAGACACAAAAGAGGTCAAAGTAGGGGTGTACAAAAAAATCGGTTCACAAGAACCAAATTTAAAAATATGGTGCACCGATTTCAAAAGTCCATATTATTTGGTTTTAAAACTAGTCCAAATTCATTTGACTAAAACCATTAAAAACCGGTGTCCACTTTTTAAAACCATGGTTAATCCATTTTTCAAACTCTTTGTCTTTTTTTTGTTTCATGGTCATAAATGACAATTAAGGTAATGTATATGTAATAAATAAAACATATATATATATATATATATATATATATATATATATATATATATATATATATATATATATATATATATATATATATATATATATATATATATATATATATATATATATATATATATATATATATATATATATATATATATATATATATATATATATATATATATATATATATATATATATATATATATATATATATATATATATTTAGGGTTGTGCAAAATAATCAATAACTATAAACCAAATTTCTATCCAAATTAATTCAAATTTTAAAATCTAGTCTAAATTTATATTTTAAATTTGGTTGCCCATTTATCAAATAAAAAAAAAACCGGTAATGTCCACTTTTTAAAACCATGGTTAATCCATTTTTCAAACTCTTTGTCTTTTTTTTGTTTCATGGTCATAAATGACAATTAAGGTAATGTATATGTAATAAATAAAACATATATATATATATATATATATATATATATATATATATATATATATATATATATATATATATATATATATATATATATATATATATATATATATATATATATATATATATTTATATATATTTAGGGGTGTGCAAAATAATCAATAACTATAAACCAAATTTCTATCCAAATTAATTCAAATTTTAAAATCTAG